TCCCAAACCGTTAGACTAGAATGGGTGGAAATTGATGAAAACTCAGCTGCATAATAACTTTCTGGATCAGTAACCACAACCAGTCCAGGCCTGCCTTGAGCTTGAACATTCATCCAAAGCCCCTCTTTATTCTGATGTACAGAGTCAGTGAATGCCAGCGCAACTCTAGCGAGACATAATGGCGTGGAATGCTTATGCTAGCAAAACTTTAAATCATCGGGGGAGCAAGAAACCCGGGGAGCAAGACAACTCACTGCAATATCCACCCATTAATCTTCCCTCAAATACTCGCCAACCTTCTCCCAAATGCTCCTCTGCATTATGTGCCAATCCGCCTTCCGTTTCTCCTGACAATCTTTGCACCAGTCGTCCGTCCACTCGATGTTTATCAATGCTGCCAGTCCGCGCAATGGGTCGTACCGATACTGAGTGAAAATGCCTGAGTCGTACACCAGCCGAACCCACGCCTCGCGTCTTGCAGTGACCCAGAGGCATGTGCTAGCCACACTAGCAGAGGTATCAGAGTCGAGTGCAGGCTTTTCTTCAGCTTGGTTAGGAGTTGAGGTTCCTTCACCATCGCTGGATGGCGCACCACGGAAGTTTTGGCAAACGAAGGCAGGACTCTCGCGCGTAGCTGCCTGTACCCACATGTCACTCAGATACTCTCTCATCCGTGTAAAGCGCAATATATCCGCACGACTGATTTGCTTTGATTTCTCGAGATTTTCCAGACCGAACCCAGGCATCCTTGCCATATCGTAGAATGCAGGCTTCAATGACCTATCAATGTTGTACATCCATGCGAGGACAGCTACCTCCGGAGCATCGAGGTGCGGCTCTGGGTTAGCGACCAGCTCTTCCAGGTCAGAGGGCCAGAGCACTTCCAGCTCCTTCACGAGCCATACACGGTCAGAGTCGAAACCAAGCAACGTCGTTGCGCGGATGAGGGACATTAGTACGGGAGGCTCGATGGTGTTGCGGTAATTCCTAACCCACTTGTTAGCCAGCAAAAACAAGAACCAGATACGAGTAGATACTTACCCTGGATTTTCATAAAGTAAGAGCAGCGCCTCAAAATCTACTGCATTGAGGATGAGTCGTAATTTACTTCTTTCAAATTCAATTATTCTATCTTCAGGTTTGTCGTCATGTCCTGTCTCGAGGAGTATGCTTGCCAGGTGTTCTGAATGCCGTGCGAGCCATGATTGATGCACCCTGAAGCGTACACCGTCAAGTTCAATGATAGCATTCCCGTCTGCAAGCCAAAACCGTTCATGCTTGCGTGCAGCACGGTTACCGGTTCGCGCGCGTTTAGCTGTTTGCTTTCTGGGTTCAGACTCTGAGGCAAGTTGGCGCTTGCATCCTATGCTCTTTACTGGGTCACATGAAGCAGCGGGAACCAAGGCTGGATGTCGTATGAGCGAGGCACATGTGAGTCATGTAGGAGCATTATAAAGTCTTACCTGCTTCAGACCTTCTCAGACATGGAACCCTATCAATGCTGGGACGCGTTCCTAGAGGTTCCTGCTGGACTTCGTATGCATCTTCATATACATCCTCATCCCCTAGTCGCAGCGTCACGTTCATTCTACGGTCCGTGATTGTCCTTCAGGTCTAGAAAGGATGGTTGAGCAACCATACACCCTTGATAAAGAGAATGAAGAACACTAATTCTGCCAAAAATGTTCAACGCGTAATTTTATATATATAAGTCACGTAATCGTTTCAGGAGACTTGAACAAGAGTAACCCTTGCGTTTACCGATGCTTACGAAGTCTAACCCAACTAGCAACATACACCAGTGAGTAGAGCCCAGATGGCTCCGAGGCTGGAAAACCCGCCTGGAGTGGCTAGATCACCCAAACGATGCCATACATATAGCACTTAGGCATCTGACAGTAGCATGGCTAGCGTAATGCAAGGGGGTGCACAAAGTGGTTCGGCACGTGAATCATGGATCAATATCGACTACGCTGTACCAAGAAGTTTGAAACGCTCGAGACGAATTCAGGTCATGCCAGTGCGAACGACAATGGAGCCTAATGAAGCGACAAAGTGGAGATTAATGAAACTGTATACTCACTTCCTGGACCTGTACAACAGACAGTCCTGGCCCGCCTTTACACAATTGAACACTGGTCCCAGATCCTTTCCATTCTGAGGCTGTGTGTCCTGGTGCAGAGTCGGTCGACTGCAGCGCAACTCTGGCAAGACAAATGGCAAGTGCAACTCTAGCGGGACATAATGACGGGGAATGGTTCTTATGTGGGCAAAACTTTGAATCATCGGGGGAGCAAGAAACCCAGAGAGCAATGTAACTCACTGCAATATCCACCTATCAAATTTCCCACAAATAGTCGCCAACCTTCTCCCAAATGCTCCTCTGCATTATACCCCAATCCGCCTTCCGTTTCTCCTGGCAATCTTTGCACCAGTCGTCAGTCCACACGATGTTTGTCAACGCCGCTAGTCCGCGCAGTGGGTCATACCGATACCGAGCGAAAATATCTGAGTGGTGCACAAGCCGAACCCACGCCTCGCATCGTGCCGTCGCAGAGAGGCACTTGTTAACCATACTAGCGGAGGCGGTAGGGCAAAGTACAGGCTTCTCCTCGGTATTTTCAGACAGACTTGCGGGTCCTTCTCCATTGCTGCATAGTGCATCCCCAAAGTTTTGGCACACAAATGTAGGATCCTCGTGTGCAGCTACCTGAGACCACATGCCACTCAGATACTCTCTCATCCGGACAAGGCGCAGTACATCCGCACGGCTGATCTGCCCCGATTCATCCAGCCTGTTCAGACCGAATCCAGGTACTCTTGCCATGTCATAAAACGCAGGTTTCAACAACGCATCGATGTCGCACGTCCGCGCAAGGGCAGCCACCTCTGGAGCATCGATACGCGGTTCTGGGTTGACAAACAGCTCTCCAAGATTAGATGGCCAAAGCGCTTCCAACTCCCTCACGAGCCATACACGATCGGAGTCAAAGCCAAGCATCGTTGCTGCGCGAATAAGGGACATCAGCGTGGGGGTCTCAATGTAATCGCGGTAGTCCCTACCCCACTCGTCAGGCCAATACAAATAATAAAATTTTAGCATATACTCACCCAGGGTTTTCATAAAATAAAAGCAGTGCCTCTAAATCTATTGCTTTGAGCGCGCCGCTAAAATCGAGCGTAATCTCTTCAAGTCTGCCGCCTTGTTTTCCATTGTCGGGAAGTATGGCTGCAATTCGTTTTGAATGTTTTGCGATCCACGATTGGTGCACCCTGAAGCGTATACCGTCAAGTTCAATGATAGCATTTCCGTCTGCAAGCCAAAACCGCTCATGCTTGCGAAGAGCAGGCTTATCGACTCGTGGGCGTTTCACCTGTATGTCTGTAGGGTCAGAATCCGGGGTAAGTTGGCGTTTAAACTTTGTGGTCTTTAATGAGTCGCATGTCACATCAGTGAAGACTGAGGTTGGAAGTCGTGTAAGTGGAGCACATAGTATGCATTCTGATCTGCATCATAATTTGAGTCGTACCCTATGTCGGAGTTCTCAGGAACTAATCGGACGGGGAGGCCGACTCAGAGCGCTGAGGCACGTTCCTTGAGATGTCTGACTCTGCTGAACTGCTCGCTTATGAGCCACATCGTCATCCTCTCGTTGCGCCATGTTAATCTGTGAATGCCTGCAAATCAAAAGAATCTGAGTTCATTAATTACATGAATAGGCCTTTAAATTGGTCATTTCGACTTACAAGCTTCCAAAAGAAGGAACAGCTGTCTTCCTTCCTCAAGGTCTGACTATGGGAGACGTGACCAAGTGAGTATCGAGTGGCAACGCGTCAATGAATGAATGAATGATAATCACGTGATCGTTCCTTCATATCAATATTCATGCCTTGTGACTGTGAGTGACATAGAGAATTGCTTTGTGCGTTGGCTGCGTCTACCATGGGTGGTCCAAATCTTGAGGTCTTCAAATTCGGTCTGTACTTGTTTGTACCGGTCGTAGCCTTGTTACATTTCGGTGATCCTGCTTGGTACCATAACCACGTCCTTCCTGTGGGTTGTCGTCTTCTTTATGATGACTTCGTTGTTAACTATCACGACCAGTATAAGGGCCATCTATTCCCACCTCCGGATAGGACTTACAGCGTGAAGTTTTATAATATCATTGTACTGCTCATCCCTGTGCTCAAGATGCACGTAGAAAATACCAACAGATCAAACCGCCATCCGAGAAGAGCTGGCACGGATAAAGGCGGATAAACTTGCACGGCGAATGGAGCGAGAAAAAGAGCTTCAAACACAGTCGGAGGCAGTTGCACAAAGTTCAAAAGGGTGGTTCAAATGGTGGTAGTTCTGGGTAGCGGTGTGTCGCCTGAAGTTCTCACCATGAATGTCATTTACAAGTCAGTCGTGCGTAGTTGTTAGGTCTCCCTTACTTCCTTCGAAATGCATTTACTTCGTCTAGGCTCTCAGTATCGTATCAATTATCAATTTATCAATATTCCCATCTATCTTTCAGCATCATTGCTTAGGCACCTGAATTTCTTCGCCGTCGATTTGCACGCGCCAGTAGCTTTGCGCCTGCACCGCAGCGACAATCTCTTCAAATTCCCTCATATCCTCAAAAGAAATTTTTACTCCACCGCACACCACAAAAACTAGGCATTTCTCTTTCCTCTCTTCTGGAGAAAGTGCCGAGAATGTTGGCCCGAGGATGCGCAAGAGAAATTCGCGATTGTATCCGGGAGTCAGGGTTGTCGAACAAGCGAGTTCCGTCAGTATTTTGTGATCGTCTGGTAGTATGGTTATTGCGCTAGCCAATTGGTGTTTGCGTTGCACAGGGACTCACCTCCAAACAATCTTGCAGTGTGCATAGCCATCTCGTCTGGGATGCACGCGCATGTTATTCCTCCGGCACGATCGACTGCCATTCTAACTACCCCAGCAGCTGGTGAGGTTGCGCCTAGTGAAGTTGCTCGCGAGTTCAGCGCTTTCATGTGCGGAATTGCGATATTATGTTCTTCGACAATCTCAACGGTATACGGAGAACTGTCCTCCGCTTCAGCGGAAGGTACGATGGGGGCTTTAGAAGTAAAGTTCCGGGTATTGATGGCGATGGCATTGTAAAAGCAGTTCGAGCCGGTGGTTTCAAGCGCCACGACCGGTACTTTTATTAGGCACGAATCAGAGGTATGAGTGCAGCGGTTCAGGATTTTAATTACCTTCATCCCACCCAACGTTCTTGCAGCCTTGCATGATGCCTCCGATGAGGCCTCCCCCACCAACACTGCAGAATATGGCAGTCCGGTTGCCTGGGAAGTTGTCTCTGCATCTCGGTCACCATGGATGAATGACCATCCCAGAGGACAGGCGAATCATATGCGGGCACTAGGACACTTAAAGATGCGGTTGGCTTGACGCAAGTGACGGCCAAGTCTGTACTCACGCATTTGTGTCTTTCTTCACAGCATCTCCGAGCGCAACGAGTGTTTGGGAGTAGAATTCCCCAGTTGTTACGATCTCTGCGCCCTGCTTTCGGAGAGCCCGTTGGGTGTCAATACTTACATTGATAGGAAGGAACACTGTGCATTTCACTCCCAAAACACGTGCTACAACTGCCGTAGCTAGACCTGCATTTCCGCCGGAAGCGATCATCAGGTGCACCAAAGGACCATACTTATCCTTGCATTGTTGTGCGAATTTGGAGATCCCTCTATATTTGAATGATTGAGAAGGTTGCAAATTCTGTAGGTACGCCTGTTCGATGAGTCACACATGGTCCAAGGTTGTATCGCACCTCCAGCTTTAGGTAGGCAGAACATCCGATGATATCAGAAATATGGCTGGAATAGACCAGGGGTGTTTCCGTCCACAAATTCTCTGATTGTGCCGCCTTGATGCTCATATCAGCGAGAAGCTAGTTGTTCAAGTTGTTTATAAGCATCCCGGAACTTGGTTGCAGCAAAGGCCCCTGCTATATTTGGACGAGCTTAGCTCCGGTAAGAATAAATATCTTCGCTCTTACCCCAATGGTCGAGAACGTTCAAGCGTAGATCAATCAAGAAAGCAAGCGCAGTTGAATCATGTGGGTCAATATCGGGTAAACAGAATATTGTGATATCAAGTCTTTAGTCACCCATCTAAAGGTACGATTTAGATGGTGTTCCCATCACGGCCATTGCCTTGGGTCTAGGCCAACCAATCGCATGACATCCTGGGATTCCATCAGAGCACACGGGTAAGACGCCACCTGACGCCACCTACCCTTCACCACATGTATCGCTGGCAGTGATTGCGAAGATGAGCATGAAGGAGATAGATAACTCGAAAGGTTGTTCGTCAATATCTCTTTGTTGAGATGATAGTTACCTCTACAAGTTGCCATCATCTGCTATTATGCGGTGCCGCCGCGTTGCTGGTCAGCCCTGACCACCTAAAGGCCGGCCGTGCTTACGTATTGGCAGCTCAATAAGGTGTTACATAACAGCTGAGCTGACCTTACAGCCTGTATCTATGTGCCGTTAATAAAACGTCAGACGTTGATGGGCCCGTAGTAGGACACTGAGGCGTATTGTGTCAACAAACATACCTGCTCGGACTCCCTGCACAAAGCAAGTTGTTGACATAATACCATGCAGTATCCCAATGGTGGGATAATTAATAATGCACGACCCAGGCTGATGTCGTGCTGCAGCATTGAGTAAGTACCAGGCAATGTTCCGACAGGGACACCTGGACCGACCTACTGAAACAATTTGCAAATTCGAGACTTGCCGTGGGTAACCTCGAATAGCGGAGCAAAGTCGGATACAACTCAATTTATTGATATCGGTCATGGACCTGTGTGTGGGGCAGGGCCTCGGGGAACGCCTCGAACTTGTGCGATGAGCGGCGTACAGTTGAATTATGTACTACTAGTGCCGCGGATCATTTACATAAAATTACGGAACCCTAATCCATATGTTTGGCGCAAAGTGCCGTCGAACCTGCATATTTGAATATTGAATGGGCGCATTAGCGCAGATTAGCGCCAACGCCAGGCTCCTTTGTCTATGATTTCCTGCGTACTCGTCAATGCTCGTCTCAAATCATTCGGTGTTTAACTTGGAGCGACTCAACGAACGTTTTGTGACAGGCGGGACCGGTAATACTCATGTAGCCGACGTCGCACAGCGCTGAACGTTCCGTTGACAAAGTTGATGTTCTTGGCGACACCACTCACGCCAATGGTAAGCACATCAACGCATCGTGACTAGCCCTTTGAAGGTGATTGGAATGATAATTTTTCCTTGGCAGATTGGCTTGTGCATGCCATGCATGATATATGATATGTCAGTGGGAAGCCATCATCGCAACATTGACATAGACCAACGCGGTTTCCGTTTATACCCGCAGATTTCTTTCATGCTCCGACAAGGTTTGTCATATGTGACTTGTGCCAGTGCTGTGGTATCCGACACAGCTGGCGTTTGTGCAATGTGGACAGTGGGTAACCGGTTCCGTGTGCTAGATGCAAGGGCGGCCACGTGAGGCCGGGAGTAAGAGACCCCTCCTCGTTTTCGAAGGCGCTTGAAGGCCAGTTGAGCGAAAGACTTCTGCGCGGAGATTAACGAGCACACTGTCCTGTAAGACATAACCCTGATGTGAGCTATCAAATTGCAGTTGATACAGTGCTGATACTCCACCTCCAAGTGATCGACTTGCAAGTAGCGTCAAATAATCCGCAGACGTGCCACGATATCGATGTATGTAAGGTGAAGGCTCGAAAGCAAGTTTCGATGATGGACTTTCTAGCCCATACTAATGCTCATTGCTCACTTTGGAATTGTTCCTGATACTAGGGGAAAATTGAAGATTTTCAGGCAACGAATATCATTACCGCCCGGAAACTAACGTATAAAGACAATGGCGACCATACCAGCCACCGGGGCAGTGCTGTGTCGTCAATTTGACACTCCAAGACGAATTGACGCGGTTTATGAGGCCACAGTGGCGCGGAAAGTAACACGGCCTATCATGATGGATTCAAGCATACGATGTAAAATTCGCGCAGATTTTTTTTTCTGCCATAGGCAGTCATCTAAAGGTGATAACGAAACATTGGAAGGACAGCCTGTGAACGGGTCGCCACTGGGGGAAAATGGGCGCGCGCTCAACCTTCTGATTGTGACACTATATCAGAGTTGCACTTGGCTACTTCGAATTTCAAAATCAAAATCAACCTAACTTTCAGGGACTCCGGGCGAGTGTAATTTCATAACCCGAGGGAGCCATTACTTACTCTAGGGAATTTTCAAGCTTCTAGAGACACCAGCCAGTCGTGTTGGATACATTTCTCTGAGACTGCGCGACGGGATAGTATGTCAATTCTTAATTTCCGTATGTTCGTGCACCCCCTTCTGTCGACACCAGATGCCTTGTCTTTTGGCACTTAATACCCAATCTCACGGATTAATCCAGATGCAGGACAAGGGAGATACTATTAGTCTTTGTTGTTCCCGGACGCGTCAACGATAGTTTCCATCCCACACTCAGCCGCGCGGTACATAATGTCTTCTTTTAACACCAGAATGATCCTTCCGTGTCATACATGGTCTGTGTTATATGTTAGATTACAACAACGCCGCCGATGGTGCAATGTCTCTTACAGAGACGATATCGTGCATCAAACATCCCATGGCCGTCAACGGTGTCACTCTCGGCTCTTCAACAAAGACTTGTACGTTGGGACAGCCACTTGATCGCATAAACTGGCTATTGCAATGGCCGAGATGCGGAGGATCTGCCGCAGTGTATCGCATATACACAAATCGCATCCCGCAGACAAATTCGTGAAAATCAATCAGCGGTCCGTAGAACATAAACACATTTAAAATTAAACCCAACCTGGCTGTGTGCCGTATACGATCTTGCGTCACTCCCGTGCGCTCTGCAGGAAAGAATTCGCCGATGTCGTGATTAATGACGTTCAAGTTACGATAATCGCGGGAGATGCTATGTGCAGAGCTCCCAAGGGCTGAGCTTCTTGGCTTTGGTGGGTATCAACCCTATAGATAGCATGGGCTAGACCTACGGGACTCGGATATGTTTTGACATTTTCTTGCGGACAGTCATGCCTGTATGATGTTTATGTTCACAGTTCGTTATTTCTGCACGGCTATTTGATGGGTCTCTGGCAAATTTACGACACAACCGCAGCATTATGATAAGCTTTGACAGTATGTTTGATATGAATTGACGGGTTTTTAACGAAATTATGATGGGCGAGCGAGCGGGGGCCTACATCCGATGCTTGTAAAAATACGGGATATCATATATCATGATCAGTAGGCTGTCCCTATGGTTAATCACGACAATACCTTCCACTTGAACTTCCATTTTGAGAGGGGGTTAAGAGTGTGGGGTACGTAAGGTTGATTGCCCAGGCACTTTGTTTTCGTAAGCGTCGATCGTTAGTTTTGTTCAAGTTGTCTCCGGGAGTCTTTGCACTTACCGTGCCCCTTGCGGAGGTTCCTGGAATACTATGTGCCTAACGGAATGTGGAATGAACTCTTGGCCAGTGATCGGGGCGCGTGTAGCTGTGCTGTCCCGAGGCGTACGACGTACATCGGTCGCACCAAGTAGGCAGTGTTATCAGATGGGCTTCGAGAGTCTAGACCGTCATAGAACTTGGCTTAGACCGCCTTGGGTATGGGTAATTCCCTGATTATCGGCGCCAGAGCTTGGGATTCAGAATTTGCAAGATTAATTACTTATTCGGCTTAGATTCGGACAAAGGAATGTATGCCAGCGCTATGCTGTGTTGTGTTACTTATATGATGGGGAGTCTACATCAAAATGTTATTGATAATTGGATTGATGGGCGGTATATGTGATGATGAAGGAGTGCGGGACGTGACGGGATTGTGAGAGGAGTCCATGAATAAATTTTTGTGATTTGATGCTACACGTGTATGTAAAAGACCTCGTGCGCGGTGATAGCATGGGGAGTTGCTCTAGACTGGACCGGGACCAGACGCATGTTTATCTCGTGGATCATTTGGTCATGTTACCTGTTGAGCGTGCATCTTGGCGGAGTAATACAATTTGCCTTGAATGTCGGAGTAAGTAGCTAGATTGTGTTTGAAAGAAGCGGATCAGACGTTGTCTGACAGGTGAATGGAAAAAGCGCAGATAGCGCATCGATGAAATGGGACTGATGCGGACAAGTGAGAATCAAGACAAAAATGCAAATTCAAATTCCGTGGATGAAGTCTGTCGGAAAAATAGAGACACCGCAAAGACCGGGTTGTCCCACGAGAATTGGATTGTTATTTTACAAGATGGAAAGAGTGAATCCTATAATGCAAGCTTGGATAAAGGGTTGACAACGAAAAGATGGATGGCAATCGATGAAGGGTGCGGGTCACAGCCACATTGATATTCGGAACGGATACGGGCTGATGGAAGTCTAGACTTGGCCATGAAGTAGGAGTTAAAGGGAAGATGCGAAAAAAGCGTGTACTTTTTCCGGAAATAACATAAAATATTAACCCTCAACAACAGTATGTGTGGAGGGGTCGAATTAAAAAACACGGCATTGTTTACGGCGTGACGTGTGTTATCAGTGCAAAACGGTGCCGTGGCTCGGCGGGGCTGTTCCTGAACCAAAATAACGGATAGATTTTTTAAAAGTCCGACGATGCGGTGCCTTAATTGAGGTGTTGGGCTTAACTCTTTCCAGCGTCTGCAATCAGGCACCTTTTTTATAGAAGTTTGTTCCTCTTTTCCTAACCCGCTTCATGGAGGACTCAAAATCTTCAACTCTCGACACTCTAGTCGATTCAAAACTTTCACCTTCTTCACTCTCAATCTCTCCTCGTTCCTCAGAGATTCACGATCTCAATCAATCATTAAATAATAACTACGACGACCAGGGTGAACTCTCTCCCACAGGTTCATCATCTGCCGACATGGCTACCCTAGTCGCACCCAACAATCCATCAATTCTATCTGCTTCAGCAGGTATACAAGGTGTTAATAAACGCTATCGTCCCGCTCCTGCAAAGACTTTTCAATGCAGAGGTTATGGCGAAGTGTCGTATGGTTTTTAGTAGAAGTGAGCATCTTGCCAGGCACATTAGGTAGGTACCGAGGCACATACCCCCGTTCGATCTCTTTAATTTCCTGTCAGGAAACATACTGGCGAGCGCCCTTTTACTTGCCATTGCAGCAAGCAATTTTCGCGTCTCGATAATTTACGCCAGCATGCTCAGACTGTTCACGCTGATAAGCAAGAGCAGAATGAGCGCATGATGCGTGAACTTACCTCTCTTCATGCTTCTATGGCAGCCGCAAATAAAACCGGTCAGCCAAGAGGCAAGAGGGGTCAAGCTTCCGTTAATGCTGCTTCCGTACTCGCCGCAAGCAATCATTCAGGATCTCAAGATAATTCAATGCATGGTCTCGATCAAGTCAAGGAGGAGGACTTGTCTGCCTCTCTCCACCCCATGCACCAGCGTCCCGGTACGAGCACTGGTTACGAGGGTGGTGACAACATGATTTACGGTGACGGTTGGAATTCTGATTTGGATCATCGCGTTGGTAATCCTCGACCTACAAACAACCATTCCTTTCGTGACTCCAGCCAGTCCTTTCGTGTCCCCCCCGCATCCTCTACTTCCTGGCAACAGCAATCGCAGTCCTTTCAGACCTTCACCACCAACACATTCAACTTCAGTCTCCCCTCTAGGGACAGTCTCTCACGGGATGGTCGGCCCGGATCCAGCAGCAGCAGGCCACCAACTGCAGGGGGTCCCGACGCACATGTTAGAACGCTCCCGCCACTCGCTGCCGTCGTCTCCGCGACAATCCCCCCTCCACCATCCCAGTCATTCGCCCAGTCAGCACAACACGTACTTCCCTTATCCTTCCGAAGACCTACAACAGCCAATCGCCCAGGTACAGCTCCCGCATCAATCCTCTCCACAAAACCTGCTTACGCTGGAGGGCCTGGATTGGTCACAGAATTATCCGTTCCAGTCTATGGACGCGGCGACATGGCAGCGCCATCCCTCACATCCTCCTACGGGAGCGTCCCATACGATTCAGAACCAGCATCTCCAACAGGGGGTTCATATGACTCACCGTTTTCCTTCCACCCACCGGCGCTCGCCGACTCAGTCTCATCTGGTGGGCCTTTCGCATATTCACCACCAAGCAACCCTCGCAAGCGACCATACCCGGGACCAGACGATGATGTCCCACGTCGAGAACCCAGCAGCGGGCTTTCAGGGCCTGGAGAATACGAGTACGGGTCAGAATCACGCCCTCAATCTCGAAGGCTCACCGTCCTGGAGCTCTGCAACGAGCCAGATGCAGATGCAGGAGTACGATCATTTTTACCCGGTGCAACAGGAACGGCTTCACGGCCGACTACCGCATCAGGAATCATCTCATCAGCATCATCCCTCACACTCGTCGATAGAACACCCATCTCAAGCTACTCACTACTCCCAGGAGCTCAGACGTCAACAACTCCAGCAGCTCCAACATCAGCGTATAGCGCAGGCGCGGCGACGTTCGGGGGAGGCAGAGTTTCTCCACAATTTCGGCACGACATACCATCGGCATCAGCAGCAGGGGCCATACTTTCCGTTAACAGAGGAAGCTTCGCATCTTCACCCTTATCAGACACATCACGCAGCCCACGATCCCAATCACACAGCGTTGCCTTCGCCACCGTTGCTCGATCCGTCGGCGTACGGTCAAACTCGTCATCCCCTTCATCCAATGGGGCAACCCCTCCAGCACTATCAAGGCGAGGAGGGGAATCTCCAGTTGCATCTCCATACTCCTCCGCTGCAGTTGGAATGAAAGTGTGACGGTGGTGGGCGATTAAAACTTCATCTTTATATCCTTGGTAATTGTGGGTACGAACATTGGTGTTTGTTAGCAGCGTGGTTACCTACTCTATCTTGTGTTTTTCCTGCGTGCTCGGTCTGTGCGACTCAAACCCTTTCTAGTACAAGTATTTCATCGTTATATCTTCGCACTCACCTATACCATTTTCTTTTAATCCCAAGTGTCCGTGTAGTATTGTTTATACCTTTTGGTGGGGTTTCGTTGAGGTTGTATGTACTACTACGGTAGCGCTTCGTTTTCTTAATCTTTTGTCGTATATCCCAAAGTAAATACACCCCTTTGAAACCGCCATAACGCTCAGGCTTGCCCAGGCTCGCCACAATCAAACATCTCGGCGAGTTGCCTTGAATATTGTGACATCGGGCCGTCCAATCGATTTATTTTCTTTGAACGGATGTGTACTCGGTTGATTGACAATTTGATAGATTGTTGATCTACTCCACTTGAAGACATGCCAATCACGGACGATCTTTCCCAGCAAACCTAGGTGTTTAGTCAGTCATCTACACGCTTGTAGTCATCGCTGACCACAGATTTGGAGAAATATCGGCGTCTTTCTCTGTTGTGAGAGAGACGGAAAGTCATCGGTGAACGCCACCTTATGATATATGATATGTGCCTGTGAACGCCTTTCAGTGATACTTTCCCGTGAATTCATCGGGAGGGTCTCTACGTATGTTATTGATCAGGATGTGCGACGAGGAACACTTGAGTACTTTATTATGAAAAGGCACATTGCATGGAGTGCAGACCTACCATATTCAGCCCGCGACAATATTCGCGGGATAAAACATAAATATGGCACAACAACGTTTTGTGTTTTTCCTAAAATGGAAGGTTGATTGCAGCTGGAAAATTCCATTAATATTGTGACTTCAAGTGATTTTTTTTGACAGATTGGTCCTTGGGAGTATGCTGAGAACGGTGTAAGTCCCCGTGATTTCAAAAGGATGTGCGCTTGCTAAAGAGTGTGTTGCAGAAAACCACGCAATGCCAGGTCAAAACGGGCTTTGGAGGCTCGTGAAGCCAAGGAGGTCGAAGATGTTCGGACAGCGATATTTGTAAAGGAACTCATACAGGGGAGATTGTCAACGGTGTGATGAAAGAGCTGGTAGGTATCGTTCGAAAGCCCTTGAGGTTGGAGACTAATCATCAACTAGATGGCACTCAAACGACCAGACGCAATATCGTTCTCGAAGAAAAACACCGTTCACCCCTTTGAGGACGCTTCGTCCCTTGAATTTTGGGCGGGCAAAAATGATGCGTCCATGTTCCTCGTGGGCCAGTCTACGAAAAAGAGACCTGCAGGTCTTATCATCGCGCGTACATTCGACTCGAGACTACTGGATATGTGCGAACTTGGAGTAGACAAGTTTGTTAGCATGGCAGAGTTCACAGTGAGTCTTTGTCCCCTTGCTGTGATCTAAAATTCTTATGCGCGGTAGACACCAAAATCAACACCAGGACATAAGCCCATGATGCACTTCGCATCAGAACTATTCGATACCCATCCACGATTTATTCAAGTAAAATCCTTGCTCATGGATTTCTTCAATGGAGAAGTCATCGATTCGATATGTCTACCAGGATTGGAGCATGTCATCAGCGTTAGCATCGCACCTGCTCCCTCGCTACAAACAGCAAATCCTATTCTAGGCGACTCCCAGGAAGAGGACGTCCAAAATCTACCCAAAATCCACATGCGGACATACACCGTGAAACTACTTCCGTCGGGAACGCGTGTACCACGAGTCGAACTGACGGAAATGGGCCCTTTCCTTGACCTATCATTGAGACGCCATCAAGCCGCCGATCCGGAGATGTGGAAGGCTGCTATGAGACGACCAAAGTTGAAGAAACAAGACCTGGAGAAGGGTCTTGGAAAGAAGAAGAAAAACATGGAAGTGGACGAAATGGGCGATTTGAGGGGACGGGTGCACATCGCGAAGCAAGATCTCAACAAGCTCCAAACGCGGAAGATGAAAGGCTTAAAGAGTATGCCGTTGGAAGAGGATGGGAGTTCAGGAGACAGTGAGCAGGAGGAGGAACCTTGACAGAAAAAGCGAAAGCAGGACTAAGGGTGACTGTATTGATAGTCTGATTATGCATGTTCGCCGTGGGGTCAGTATTCCACGTTCTTTAATGGGCTGGGCAGACTCCACTGCCTCGTGCTACGTGCCTTCCCATCTAACGCCGTGCCCGCTTACATAAGGATATGAACAACAAAGGCGTGGAAGCCTGATTAACTGCTCTCAAACTACACAAGTAAAACTTCTCATGCACACGAATCGTGTTGTTCGTTGACCACAACGTCCTACTACCTGATCTTGCTGGTCCAGAGAGCAGGTCGACACATCGATTCCTGAATTATTGAAGTTCTGATCTTTTCAAAAGATCCACTCATTTAGGTTCAGATAATGTCTAATCCTCGTAAGTCTACGATTGCGCTTGGTATCTATACACTTCATCAGACAACGCCTTTGTAGTGACAGTAACACCACCAACCCTCACACCAACCCTTGGGTGAGTTCTTCCATTTATCAGCTTAGATCTAGTTCGCTGGAACTCTAGCGCAGGAGTGTCTCGACGGCGCCGCCAACTACGCCGCCGCCGACTCCTACTCCGACACCAACGACTACATCCACCAGTACTACTCCTACCTCTACTTCTTCCTCAACCTCGGCCACTAGTAGTACGACCTCAAGCTCGTCCACGACGCAATCAACTAGTTCGACTTTGTCGAGCACTTCATCCACCCAGACCAGTAGCTCTACCTCGACTACTGCTACTACTGCTACTACTCCTACCACAATTGCAACAACATCGACAACACCCACCCTTACTGCTTCATCTTACACATCAACCAGCGACGGTGTCGTAGTTACCAGCTTCACCTATGTGACTGCAAGTCCCACTTCAACATCTAATGACAATGCCGCCACTTCAACCAGCTCGTGAGTTCGATCATTAAAACATACTCTCACGAAATTCACAACACCGCCATCATGATAGGTTCTTCTCAAATACTGGGGCTGTTGCCGGTGTCTTCACCGTCGTTGGTCTCGTTGTTGTTGCGATTTTCGTCGCACTTGTGACGAACGCCGTTCGCCGCCGTCGTGCTCAGAAGTTTGACAGGGACGTTGCGGAAGCAGCTGCGGAGGCGGCCGCCTCTTCGCGTTCGCCATTCGATGATTACACATACAATGGCAGTTCGGGCGGCGGTGGCGGTGGCGGATATCCTTATTCTGATACCACTCATGGGACTTTTGCTCAGGCTCCGATGGGCCTTCCCACTGACACATATGGCATGGGTGAGATGACACAGTATGATCCGTACGCGGCCGGGGCAGTATCTCTTGCTACCGCTAACGCAGGAGGGACTCGGAGCAGGCAAGACAGTGAAACCCAGCGTACACCAGGCATCGCTGGTGTTGGTGCAGGCAACCTCGCTCGTGAGCCGAGTCGCAGGACCCCATACCATGCTTTTGCTGGTCCTGGCCCACAGCCCCCCCAAACGTCGGATCATACCCTTAGTGGGCGATACAGACCTCGTGGTGTCGAATTGCTCGAAGGCGCTGGTCTGGCGGACACCGGAGTTGCCGCTATGACCGCCGCAAACAACGGAGCATATATTAACCGCCGGCCTTCGCAGTATACCCAACAGACACATGGAAGTATGCGTTCCCACGGGCACTCGCAGGGTCACTCGTCGAGCGAGAACTACCCCATGCCCCTTCAGCCTGTATACCAGTCACCCCCGCGCAATGATACCCAGTTCGCAGATGCATACACTGGCTTTGTTAATGCTCCATCTCAACCTCTACTGGGACCTGGCTTGCCCAATCCTCACGATACTTCCCCCTCGCCACCCCCTATTCAGTCTCACAGTCCTGTGGGTGAAGTCGAGGGAGAAGATGACGACGAAGATTACGGTCAACAAAACCGTGTACTCAGAGTTCGTATTCCCATAACCCATATTCTTCTTCGCTCACGTGCTCATAAACAGGTTGCAAATGAGTAATAAGCCTCACCATAGATATTTACCCCGACTGCTTTGTTGCGTACTTGTGTGACTTATGTGCGCGTATTATTTCCGCTCTGTCGTCGCTCTTTTCTGTTTATTACCTATGTCAATATGTTTGTTTTTGTGATGAGGATGCAGGGAAATGTGCTGATTTTGAACTCTGGATATTTTTGGGCACTGCCCGCCCTTAATACGCTGTTTTCCTGCATCTCGTTTTTGGACTACATACGCTCCTCGGCTAGCACGAACTATTTAGTGTAGCGTCCAATCACTGATTTGTGATTTGCCCAGAGACAAAAGATATAGAATTTCTGTTGGTGCCTCTTGTCGTACGATATGGTTTAGGCTGCATAAAGCCCGATGCACGATGATCCGTTTCAGCGTCATGAACTGCTGGCTGACAGATGCGCAGGAAAATCATTGTATTCCCAAAGGCACATTGTCGAATGAGGTACCGTCCATGGTCGATCAGGCCTGCAAAGATAAGCGCTTGAAGATTGACAAGTCCTTTCGTCCAGAGTTACGCCGTCAAAAATAGGTCAGCACATACTTCTTTCTTCTGGAAAACCTCCGATAGATGCAGACAAGGATATGTCTGGATATGTGTTGTTCTAAAAATACAATACAAGGCCGTGCGCTGCCGCCACTGGAGTAATTCAGAATTCAAGAGGCGTGCGGAAATCTCAGACAATACATGACATGAGAAATCAAGCATCTGCTTGAGACTGGCAGTATCGCACTCGTCTTGATCGACGCAAACCGGCGAAAATAATCCGATGGAGAAGTCAAGCCGGCGGAATTGCCCGTACAGAATCCCTATCAGTCAATGGTTGTACAAATAACTGTCGTCTTACGAGAACCGGATGTGCAAGTCTGTTGCGGTATGACATCTTGTTGAGGGGGGAAAGTCGGATATTAGCTGCAAGGGATATTAGTTCAATAATCGCTAGTACACGATTGGCTCTCGGAACAGCTCATGATTTCTGACAGCCCTTGTCAAGCTCCGGAGCTTCTGCACTCGTTCGAGAGTTGATCCATGCCATCATAATAGAGGCGTCCAATCAGACTCAAGCCATACATGAAAGCTGCTTGGGTCACCCAGACGAAATCAGTGCGATCCCATGTTACAAATAATTATTGCACTCACTGAATTAATCGCCCCCAAACCACATACGCACCTATTGACAAGAACACTTTTGCTATATCAAGAACGCACGTGTTCTAATCTCTGACTTCAGGGGGGAAGGCATTCACGACGGACCGACGTCGAAATCTGAGACAGGCTTCTTTGCACAGTTCTTGTGCGATAGGATTCATAGGAATCATGAATCCGATGTGATGGTAAATGGACTCGGACCGCACGTCCAGTAAGCACCGGAAAACTGTCAGTGAATCAGAAATGGGATAAATGTCTAGGTATATTTTGAATCACTGATGATCTCAGCGGGAGCTGCTCGGTGATACAATCACGACGTCCCTGCCGTACACGATTCGGCCGCAGCCAGTATGAATACGGGGACGTTGTATATGGTACAAAGAATCACCAATTCGGGGATCGGTGATCACGATGAGGGTCCTGGAATTGATAATGAAAAAAACGATTCTTCCAGTACCGCGGGCTTCTTGTGCAACTTGGGTTCTCGAAACCCAATCAGTTAAATTCCGCAGCAGCCTACTCTGTCAATCATTTCTGATTGATTGCACTCAAAGTACAATTGGTCGTGACGACGGACGTGCTGCTACTGATGACAAGTATTGGAAGAATCAGAACACCATAGTAGATGATAGCAACGGACCATATCAGGTGATTTAGAACGCCCATTCAAAATGATATTGCCCGGATGGTTGGGCTTTGAGTCATCCGGCGCGATGGGTATGTACATTCACCGCGACAGGCAGATTGTATGTAGCGGGCATCCGAGTCCGTCACGATGCATGACAATCGGCTGAAAGCACAAAATGTTGCATCAGAAAAGATCGGAAGATGGCGGCGAGTTGATAGAGAGGAGAAGTCAGAAAGAGAACAGCGGGCGTTACATGTCCGGGCCGGTAGACGGAGTGACACACCCCAGTCTCGTGAACGGGCTGGACCTGCCATGTCAAACTGTTGCAACCGTGACATCGCAAAGATTTTGTGCACCGGAGTCGAGGGGTCTTGAAGCTTGAATTACTGACATGCAGAACGTTGAAGTCAAATTGAAGTATTTGTCGATGTTAGTCCAAGTTCGAATCTAGGTTGGAGTGATCAAGTCCGTTTTCCATTCTAGTCGCCATTACGTTCAGGACACCGATTCACGGAACCATATTGCAATTGTATCGACTGTGCCAATACGTCTGCATCTTTACAACCCTTTCCACTCAAACCCAAATTTGTTGACCACAAAACTGCCAACTAACGGGAGTTCATCACAGTCTTCGTACCTTCGCGACAACCCACCTTTCGATCCTCAGGCTCTCCTCCCAGAACGATACAGCATGCTTGTCCAGCGTCAGATTAACATTCTCGCTGTCCCGGTTGGAGATCTTTGACGAAGGCGCGCAGGAGCAACGACGGGTGCGTCACGTCCGACGTGGTAGGCGAACTGCACAACTTCCGTGTGGAGCCTTTATGATGGAAATGCTTGTAACCCCGATAAACAAATCAAACCGGAATCAAATCCCCTGAACTTGCGACGGGCGGATCTTCAAAACGGAGGACGCCATGCGAGCCCATCTTCCATGGAACTGCGGCCGAACAAGGACGCTGGCGTGCCGCCCAGTTATCAATGTCAATTTACCGTCGACAAAGAACTACGGATGTCAACATTCAGTCAAAAGATCGCAACATGAAGCGGCTAATGTCCTACTACGTCTAGCAAGGTCCAGCTTTTGGAATCGGATTGACTGATTGAGCATCCATGTCACAACCTCTTGATTTCGCCTCCGACGACCACGCAAGTACTAAGAATAAGGCCTGTCATAGTAGGTATACGGAAGAACAACGGGGGAACCCTTCGTATTCGATAGTTACGCGTCACGGCGACCCTTGTACACCATCAGGTGCAACGCCCTCCTGGAGGTGAACTATACGCGCATCTGCTGACCGTTGATATACTCATCCTCGTCAGACCGCCGGCACCACACCTCAACATGGAATTCAACCTCAACTGCGTGATCAGAGGTGGTGACCGCAGCCACAATTTCACTGTCAAGATTTCATGCGCCAACACCGTCGATGAGTTGAGACATGCGATCAAAATCAAGAAGGGATGTGTGTTCTATGATGTAGACGTCAAGGATATTCCTCTTTGGAACATATCGACGAGGAGAATATGATGAGTATTGACTCTATGTCCTATGTCATCATTATTCGAAGTATTCCCCGCCATGCCCAAGAACGATCACTTGCACTTTGTTGCTCGGTCACGACCTTTAGGTGATTTTTTTAATCAATATTGCATCCTTTTCCTCCACACTGATGAGGACAGACAATACGTTAGATGACGTCGAGTACTTCTCGCTTAAGGTATATTTATGTTAAACAGATCTTGAAGTTCTCATGCAAACACTCGCGCAGTGGAAACTCAACACCAAAACCAGATACAGCGTCATCCCTGTTTCCGGCAGCGACGATCGATATCCAATCATCCGCGTGGGTGGTGGGCGATATCAATTATACAGTCACCCTTTTCATACTCTCCCCGACCTTGAATGTCATATAACACCACCTTATACCGTCATAAATGCAGGTCCCAAATGTGTAGGCCAAGATCTCACAGAAATCGCACGTGTCTACCATCAATCCAGGAGAGCACTGATAAAAGAAACCGGAGCTCTCGTCCCAGCTACAACACTTGTGCAAAACATGTGCACTTTTCGAGGATGCGAAGCATGCAGCCAAGGCTTGGGCAACCAGACAGAAAAGAACTGCGAAAGAGGGTCAGCGGTCCCGACGGGCTGTCAGGACTGCTAACCCTCTTTCGCAGTTCTTTAGGACCGGGACGATACAGACAGAAGGTCAGCCAAAACACAACGCACCACCCGATCTCAATCGCGCTTTGAGACTGTTTCCACTACTGGTAAACGGAAGCGAGCACTGACCGAAAGTACAGTCTTGCGACTCTGTCAACAGCAGGAGGTGGCTGATGTCAATATGATGGTCAAGGACTGGGTGGAGTCTGGTCGTCGTCGTCGTCGAAGGACACGTTGGTAACTAAACCGTTTTCGACGTTCTCTGCTCTGCAGCACCTTGGTATGTTTATTAGTGACGTTGGTGACGTCAATATTCCCAATATTAATGTTCTTTCAAACCAAACTGCGAGCGAGATCCACTACGTCTACAAGCACGACTGTGGATGTACAGCATTGGTGGAAGCTGCATTGAAAGTCCTTGAAATCTGCTAGCTTGGTGTTCCTTGGACAATGCAATCACAGTTTGCTCTTGGGACGCCTTTCCCGGCTTTGTATGAGCATTCCTGGCATCAGTGGCATGAAAACGAACATACTGCGTTGACTGTGATTTTACAAAAATACATCTGTATCGCTACAAGCTTACAGGCCATTCCACTCAAACCCTTTCTTAAGTACAAAGCTGCCAACCAGTGGCAGTTCATCAGAGCTGCTGCCCACCTTGACACCATACACACCCTTCTCAACCACCCACCTCTCGATCCTCTCCTCCCAGAACGACACAGCATACTTGTCCAGTGTCAACGTCACCTTCTCGCTCTTCCCTGGTTGGAGGTCTTTGGCTTTGCGGAAGGCGCGAAGGAGCAACGGCGGGTGCGTCACGTCAGACGTAGCAGGCATTGAGACGTACAACTGCACGACTTCGGAGCCTGCGAGCTTGCCAGTGTTTGTGACAGTGACGGTGGCGTTCAGGCTGAATTCGCCGTTCGAGAGAACAGCCTCGGAGAGTTTCAAGTCCGAGTAAGAGAATGTTGTGTAGGAGAGACCGTGACTGTCGATGCGAAATCAATCAATCTCCTGTTTTCTGTCTACTGGAGACTGAGCTGCTCACCCGAACGAGAACTGTGGTTTGATGCCTCTGTGCTGGAAGTGTTTGTAGCCCTACCAAAGAACTTGAGCGCGAGATAATATCTATGAGTGAATCGGACTCACAACGAACAAATCCTCGCCGTAACGGACAACACCATTCTCAGAGTGGAAGTGTCCGTGGGCAGAGATATCTTCCAATTTCTTGGGGAACGTCAAGGACAACTTGCCCGATGGGTTTTTTCTTGCCGAACAGAACGTCCGCAATCGCGTCGCCCGTCGCGTTACCCAAGTACCATGAATGAAGGATAGCAGGAACTGAATCCGCCCACGGAAGCGTTATGGATGAACCCTAGCGTAAACACGAGGCCAATTCAATTGGTGCCAAAAACCTGATCTCGATAACACTCACGGATTGGGTCACAACGACGGTGTTGGGGTTCACAGCTAGCACCTTCTCAATCAGCTCATCCGTACGTCCAGGCAGTGCCAGGGTCTTCCGATCATACCCTTCCGTCTCCCAATCCGCATTCAGGCCGACAATTGCAAGAACAACGTCAGCCTTCTTTGCGATCTCCACAGCCTCAGCCATCTTCACATCCTCGTCGATAACCTCTGCACCACCAAGACGAACACCGGGGTTGCTGTCCATCACCATCTCGTCTTCATCACCGTCTGCTGGTGCGCGGACGTTACAGAACTCGACGAGGATGCGATGTTTGACGCCGGCTTTGAGTGGCACGCGGCCTTTTTCTTCCATGGAACCGCTGCTGAAGAAGGATTGGCCACGGCGCTGGCGTGTCCAGTTGTCAATGACAAGTTTACCATCGACGAAGAGCTACCAATGTCTATGTTCAGTGAAAAGATAGCAACGTGGATATGGTAGCGCACCTTGGCCCTTCCAGCAACAGTCAAGCCGAACTCGAATACACAATCGCGTTCGCGGGGCTTCAGCTCTCCCTCGAGTTTCATCGTCCAACGTCTCGTGATGCCCTTGGGTGCCGATGTACTGATGAATATCCTCGTCTCGTCAACCAGACGCGTCGAGTAGGGCGTGTTGATTGCAGTCATGCTCTCGTCGTCTTGATGCGCGTACCAGGTACCAGTCCAGCCCCGCTCACCCGAGGGCCGTGAAGAGCTCGTAGTCAAGTGTAGGCATCTCCATGTAGGCTGATGGAATGGATATTAAAACACAGTTCTTCTAATGTAAATGAACCACATACTGCTAGCGCCCTCACTGTAGAGCACCTCCACGCCTTGAGGAAGCGCAGCGGTAATACCATCATACGGGGACACAAAGTACGACGGCTTGAGTGCGGCCGATCCTCCTCCAGAGAGTACGACAGCTTTTGCATTCCCTCCGACAATAGCAATCTTTTTGATCTTGTTGGGGTTCAGAGGGAGGAGAGTGTTAGTGTTTTTGAGCAACACAATGGTTTCTCCTGCGACTTTGCGCATGAGAGCTGTGTCTTCGGCGCTTTCGACGGTACGTTCGAGACCATCTCCATCGAGGATCTACGAGTGTCCGTCATCAATAAAGAGCATGCGACGGAACAGAATGTACACACTTCCGGTGCTTCTTGAGCGACGCGCTTGGCAAGCTCGACAACTTTGCGCGCACGCTCTTTTACAGTCCTGACGGTCAATTTCCTTGAGCCAATTGACCTGTTCATGAGATCAAGAATGCGCCACTTGTTGGTACCTGGCATCTCGAGGTCGAGGCCAGCATTGATACTCAAGTCTATGCTGTAAATACCGAACCTAATTTACCGTATGCAACATGAGTCACTATTCGACCATACGTGAAAATGAGGAACGTACCAATCGGACATGACGAGCCCCTCAAAGCCCCACTCGCCACGTAGGATGTCTTGCAAGAGATGCTTATTCTCAGAGGCGTGGGTGCCATTGACACGGTTGTACCTAAAATATGACAATAAAGATCAGTATGAGCCAAAACGTGTCGAAGTCCTTCTCCTGTACTCCAGGAGAATCATCGTATGTAAAATTGAAATGTGAACGTACGAAGTCATGAAACACCACGGCTGAGCATATTTCTGGGCGAGCATGAATGGCATGAGGTATATCTCGCGAAGCGCGCGTTCGCTGAGGATCGAGTCGTATGCCATGCGATCGTCTTCTTTGTCATTGCACCTGTATGAGTTCCGAATTAGCATGGACGGGTTTCATGCGAGATCGGAGTCGGATAGTTGTGATGAACATACACGAAATGCTTGATTGAAGTCCCAATGCCGCCTTTTTGAACGCCTTTAACATACGCGGGCCGCAATGAGACCGGATAGGAGCGGGTCCTCTGAGAAACTCTCGAAGGCCTGAACAATAGAGCGCAAAATTAGATGGGATCCGAGCTGTCATTCTGGATATCGAACTTACACGGCCACCTAGAGGGTTCTGCAGTCGGTTCGCCAGTCATGAACGAGTGCAAAAGAAAGGATGGTAAGAGCAGACATACGCGTTGGATGTTACATGTCGGGGCAAGAATAACGGGCGCGGCTCTAAGCTTGGCCTCGCCTGCGAGCAACTTCAACCCGACTTCTTCGATCAATTCCGTGTCCCAGGTAGCTCCAAGCGCGGTGGCAGAAGGCAGGCACTTTGCCGGTGTGCTCATAAAGAAGTGATTACCCCTGATACCTGCATACATACGTCTTATTGCGTGTTTAAGCGCGCACGGAATCTGACATACCGTTAGGGCCATCGCTGACTTTTACAGCGGGTATCCCAAGGCGGGCGATCTCGTGCGTGTGCCAGAATCCAACGCCAGCGGTGAGTAGGATAGCCTCATCCGTGGTGAGCTTCTCGACGATATCATCCACGTCTGCATTTGCGAAATCTGACCAGGGCATGACAGGTTTCGAGTCCAGGTAAGATCTGGATTGTAACGACGCGCAGGTAGTTTAGCTTCTCACAGGTCTGTGAGTGTGATAAGGACAAGAGGTAGGAATGAGCAGGACTTGTCTCCCTCCCCGCATACTCATATATACTGTTCACCAGTACTATGTGGTCCACACGTGACATTTCCGAGGTTTCTCCGATACCGAGAATTCGCCGTGTCTTTATGGCTTTTGTGGAGCAAGTCTGGAGCAAGTGCTGAAAACTGCTAAGTCGGATGTCGGTTTAATGGTGTTGATATTGCAATTTGAGGGGTACGTCGATGGTTCTGTATCATGATAGGATATGCAATGATCCGGTAAGGGAGGCCTAAGCTTTCTCCATGGGTCGACAGAATACGCCATACTGGAAATGGAGACCGCAATGGATGGGGGATACAATGACCGCCGATGGCAATATTGTGGGGATTGGTATTCCCAAGAAGTTTATACTGTACATGTGGGGCAGGTCATCCGGACCGTTTTCATGGGTTTGAAATGCATATACTATAAGTGCGAGGAGGCAATAGTAACACGTGCTGAGGGCTGCACATTCATGTCGGAGAATATCAATATCAGCACTGACAAATTCAGAACAAGGTGCATGCGTACGCAATATTGGCAGATACCACATGACATGCACTTGCTGGTTAAGCGTGGCACAAAGTTGATTTCTTGACCACGTGACACAACGACGCGTCCAGTCACTCTCCAAAACGTATCATATGCACAAACTATATCACACACGCCCATGATTCCATCGTCCGTTGGCACCGCCAACATGCTACGTGTACCAGTGGTACAGCATAAATCATCTTCGCATTCACGCAGCGAACCCCCTTCTCCGTCCGAGTTCCTACAACCATCCTCCTCTGGCGGTCTCACAAAGCCATATCGCCAACCTTCAGCATCACGCGGGACTCCGTTCATGAACGCCCGTGCGCTTTCAGGTTCCGCCGTCCCTACAAAATCGCGCCCTGAAAAACGCTCGAGACCATCAGCCCCACTTCCAACCTCCAACAACAGTCAAACCGCCCGCGTCCGACCAGTGCGAACACCAACGCCGCCCCCGGAAAAGGTATGTCTGCCCGCCAGCCTCATATGGTCCCAAGAAGCAACCCGCTGACTCGTCTTGCACAAGCCACTGATAGCTATTCTCCCCCCACCCCTCCCAAAATCCCTTCACGCATTGAACGCCCATCCACCCGCCATATTCTCAGGCAACTTCGACCTCTATGGCATGTACCTCCCCTTCCTCGTCAAAGCCTACCTCCCACAAGGCAGCACATCCCCCGACTATGCCGCGGTCTACGACACAATCCTCGCTTACCAGTCCAAGCACGACTATACCGCTCGGTGCTTCCTCTCGGTCAGCTCTGACGCAGGCAGAGCAGAAAGCGCTTCTGTGTTCGATCCTATGATGGAGCGCCCTTTTGATGTGATGATAAGCAATTTGAAACATCGCACAGAACTCACTTTCACCTCGAGCGAACGCGCTTCTTTCCTCGCTCCTGATCATAGTCCTGTGTCACCGGGTGTCATCGGACAAGTGGGGCTCCCTCCTCAATGTGGAGTTAAGAACGCGAAAGGGATTTGGAAGATGAAGCGCGTATGGGTTGGGGAGGGCGAGGGCGAGGTAGGAGCGTGCGAGAATGTTGACAATGGATCAACAGTTGATCACGTCGGCGAGGCGGTCAGATTCCTCGACAAAAGCGAATCCAGACAAAAAGACGAGCAAACCTGTGAAAAAGGAACTTTTTGAAGGCTACTTCTCCTTCAGCGTCAGCTACGACCAGATGTACAGAAAAGCAGGTCATGGGGATGGGTCGGCGTGTCGGTTTGCGTTTTGGGGTGTTAGAGCAATGAAGGATAACTACGGGGAAGGAGATCGGACTAGGCCCGGGGAAGGGAATTGGAGCGGGAATGAGGAAGGGGTTGGGATGGGGATGAGGAGGACTGGACATTAGAGTTTCGCACGTATACCCCGAGTCTTGGTTTGTCCTCCAGCCTGCAACTCAGTACAAATAGTGTAACAAAATATCCTTGTGCATAGATCAAATATTGATACATCTGGCATGTCATATGTGTTTCATCGCAGCAGCGAAGTGCTCTTAATTATCCGAACACCGCAGCTACAAGGACAATCATTCCGTCATCTTTCACGATGCGTAGTCACCACATACCCATTCCACAGCGACGAGGAGCCTGGAAGGGAAATCCTCGCTGCAATGAAAATATGCCCTCCCCAGTCATTTGCTGAACACTCGGTGTGACACCGATCCTTCTTGTCCACGGATTTGCACTGCACAAGACAGGTGTCACATTATCGATTCAGCTAACTGCCAGGATCAATTAAGCATGCTATATATGCTTCAAATCCGCACACTCACTCCTTCCAAGCTCACTCTCTCTCCAATCATTATGACACAGCCCCACGCTCACCGATCAGAATAAACTGATCGAGCAAACACACCCTCTACTCTGCTGACCTCAACGACCTAGCAGAGTCAAGTGCGGAGCAAACAACCACAGCTTCAGACATATTATACGAAAGCGGTCATTTCGCTCGTATTATTCAAGGGCAGTCATTTCTGCGACCAACAGGCTCAAACTCGTGGAGTCCACTGCCCAGAGGTATGTTCATGGGAACGATGTAGTTTCTATGTGTTTGCTCTGTAGTCTGCACTACGAACGAATGTAATCAGGGCGCGCTTGTCGATTTAGTTGCTTTGGACATGTCGCTTTTATGGTTCATGATTGATTTGGACGCACCTCATAGGACTGATCCCCGATCCATCGAGCTAACAAGCATGTCCGATTTACATGGATAACTTGTTTCGAGGGGCGGCAAGACACTAAGTGAACGGAGTACGGTACATTTCCTGACAGTGATCTCGAGGATTAATAGTGCGCAAATCTTCAAGTCCGTATATTTGCAAAAGAGTCCAATGACGTACACCGCCGATGATTTATCTGTACAATGCACAATGCGCGGATTATTGCCGATGTGATGATCTATAACTTCATTAAGACTTGAATATCTCTCCATGCTTCCCCTTTGAGTAGAAATGGTTCATCCTCGTGATAATGGTTAACAGGCCAATGATCCAATCGTTGAGCTGTTTGTCAAGCAGCTCCTGCGAGCATGGCTCTCCATTCGGGTTGGCCGCAAGCTTCTCGTAGAAGTTCTTGCGAGACGGGCAATATCCAATGGCAGTCTACATCAACCCACAACGTTAGAATCACATGAATCGCATGAGCAATGTTTGACGAACGCTGAACATCAAGCCTGCCGCTTTCATGATGGCTCCTTGTATGCTGAAGATTCCAGCGCCACGGTGGATAGGCCCGAGAGTGATATCATATCCATTCGTGAAGGCGACTTTGAGATCTTCTGATGGGTTGTTTTGTGCGTGCTGAAGGGATCTGCCCGTGAACGCGAGGGATCGAAGCAGCCACATGAGACCCTCCGTTGCGCTTCCCACTTTGTTGTTATTTTCGTTGGCCACCAGCAGTTCCAGCGTTGCAGACTGTGAGGGAGCCGTATTGAACCGTCCACGAACTTTCTGGTAGAAGAGTTGGATGTGATGAGCAGTGTGATCAACGATCGCTTGCCTGGGAAGACCCACCGTGATGTTACCCTGGATGTCGTTGATGACGGGTGAAAACGCCCCCGAACCAACGGAGCTCATAAGTCCAGTGAGCTCCTCTGCATACGATCAATCAGATGATGCAGTGAATGACGTGGCGATACGCACTAAGCATGAGGACGACACCATCGCCAGCTTCGAGGAATGCGACAGTGTTGACGCCATCGTCGGTGATGGGCACATCTTTAAACGACTAGGAAATGGATTCATCGGGTGGATCATCGCAAATGTGCGCCTTGAGCTTACCTTGACTGTTTCGAGGAAGGGTGCCATGGTGGACGATCGGAATCAAGTCGCTAACCCTAACCCCACGGCTATTGTTGGCATGTCAATGTGATGCATGTGATGTCGGATCCAGAAGCAATACCACAATAATACAACACCTATAGATCAAACGTTAAGACATACTTATATGCATAGGACGATGTGTCATGCAACTTGTGCGCGAGTACGCCCGCCGACTGAGTAAGTGCTTGTTTTACAACTGGTGACATGGTGTCGATTGGGAGAGTCTGATAAAAGTAACCGCTAAATAAAGACTTCCTGGTAACGAGCCTGACAGCCTCCCATTTTCACATTCGACCCAACTCATTGAAATGCTTAACTTGAAGCTTCCCGCTGACAGCTGGCATAAAGGATCAACTTGTCGAGAACTTGTCCGAAAGTTTCTCTGTCCCACCGGATGGACTTACAAAATTATATATTCTGGCGCAGAGATCATCGATTCCGCTGGCTTGAAAGTGGACAAAAATCGAGCTCGCTGAAGTCAAGGGCCCCGGGGCCCGCCTGATGGTAGTAACGTGTTTGTTCCTGTATTACTAATAATATACATGTGGGTCCGCACGTGCGCTAATGATGTTCTCTTTGAAACTTCGACTCGCTAAACGCCTACGATAAATTTGTTGCTGGCCGTGCTCTCGAGCGTTTGTTTCATCACATGTGTCAAATATTTCCCCGAAAGCAGGTATATAATCAAAAGCCGTGCTAGCCGTCCCCACTGGCGTGACCTTTTTGGCTCATCAACTTGGGCAAGTATATCCTATCAATGCTGTGGTTGATTTTTTGACACGGAACTTTACTAAGTGCAAGCGCCTGCCGCTATGTCACACATTCTTCATCGAACATTGATGACTCGTGTTATACTTGTCCGGGAGATGTGCTTATCATCTATCTGTTATCTGTCATTCAGGGTGACCGCTCCCGTATTTATAACCTAGTCGTATTTGCCGTTCGACGTATTACTTGGACCCACATTCTCATCCAAGACAAAAAAGGATGCCGCCACACAAGGTTGATTTCAAAACTCCGGTCAAAGAGATCCCAGAGGCGGAACTCAAGAGAACTCAGAATTTTCCTCATCACACTGGTGGCTTTGGCGACGTCTGGAAATGCAACTGGTCCACTTCTTCTAGGAATCCCCAAGTCACAGTGAGCCCGAACTCCCAGCATGCGTGGACGCACATCGATGGGTTTATTTCTAGGTTGCAATTAAGGTAGTGAGGGTCCCTGACTCTAATCAAACGGCACTGTTGGAAAAGATTGCACGGGTAAGGTCTCACATTACAGCATATTAATGTTGCTTACTACACTTATGGTTGATAGAGTATACGGCGCGAGGCCTACGTCTGGGCCAAATTGAAAGACGATCATGTTCTCTCGCTTCACGGAATCACGATGGGTTTCGGAGTCTTACCATCGTTTGTTTCATCATGGATGACAAAAGGATCTCTCGATAGCTACCTGAAACAGCAACCCACTCTTTCGATATCGCGGAAGCTAGACATGGTAAGCATTTCGAATTCGAAAGACTAGCGGAATCTCAATCAAAGCCATCAGTCTCGCCAGATATCATCTGGTCTCAAGTATTGTACGCTCTTTTGATTTCTTAATGCGTGACTACACTGAAATAACCCTTAGTGCATGAAAAGGGCATTGTCCATGGCGACTTAACACCGGTAGGTTTCTGATCGGCTGCGGTATTATGCATGAAAGATGAAAAAATGATGCATTAGACCAATATACTCATCAATAGCAACGACAAGCTTTGCCTCGCGGACTTCGGTCTTTCCATGATCCTCGCAGAATCGGGCAATGCCACATTCAACTCCTACCACGCGGGTAACGTGTGGTGGATGGCCCCAGAACTGATTACTCCATCCGAAGGAGGGGAACCGACAAAGCCTACAACATCTACAGATGTGTATTCGTATGGTTGTATCATGCTTCAGGTATTTTGTTTCGTTCGTCGATATCGATGCATGTCTGACACTCTGAAGCTACTTTGTGGGCAACAACCGTTCTTCCCGCTGATGGATGCACTTCGCGTGGTGGCGGCAATATTGAGTGGCAGACAGCCCTTCCGCCAACTCACTGGCGTTGACGAAGGCCATAAGCAGTATTGGCTAAAATGTCTGTCCACCAATTTCAATGCTCGACCTAAAGTCCAGGAGATCGTAGCGTTCATAGAAGCCGAGCTGCAGAAGCTTCGATGACGAGTCATTCTAATCAATGCTTTCCATACAGCTCCTATGGATACTTTGTCTGTGTCAATTCACGACGTAACGACTATGCTCATTACCCCTTCAGTCACCTTTGTACTTATGATACTGATTTAAAGCCTGTGTTAGGAGCGTATCGAATATCATCTTCCTAATCACGCGCGCCTGCCAAGTGTGACCTTCGTGTAAGGTGGTAGTAGAAGTTAGCCCTGTTCGCTCGTCAACATATGGTAGACTTGATGGTGTGTCCCTTGTCATGAGAATGTTTATGTATGCTTCACCATGTTGCCAATGACTCGATACGTCCGCGCCATCTCCTGTCACCTTAGGTTTGTTGTCCGGTATCTTTCTCCTTTGTCGATCCATTAAAGTTATGTTCAACTACGAGTTGATAATCCAATGCTGTAATTGCCTCTTGAATGATTTGTCTGTTTAAGTCTACCGCGGTCTCCCAGACTTTCATGTACATGAGTTCATCCCCCCAGGCGGCGCACTGTCCTAACAAGTGTCGATAGTATTGTTAGTTGTCATGCCCGTCCACTTCAGCATGAAACATCGAGCCAATTCCCATAATTGAAAATTAGAATGAACAGCGATTGTTTGACGAGCGCAAGCCAGTAAGTCTATGTAGTACAAAGCAAATGCGATATGATGAGATCCGAAAAATGGGTGTTGAAACCCGACACAGTCTGCAGCGCTCAGCAGTTGAAGCCAGAGTACTGAGTATAGTACATAGCATGAGGAAGAGGATTGGAAACAAGGAAACATTGCAGTCTGCACCGCTCAACAATTGAAGCTGGCATGCTTGATATCATACACAACACAAGCACATAGCATGGGAAAAATGCATCGAAAAACAGGAAACTTGGCTTGAGCATCATCTAATTCTTTGCTGTCAATTCTTTTGCTGCAGGCTGTCAGAAAATGACTTCCAGGTTTGCAACGAGACGAGGGACGTACACATGTGGTTTTCAAGGATGAACGTGAGAATTTTCCTCCCCAGTTCCTCTTTCTTGTAGCATTGACTAGAAATCTCTTTCACTTCTTTCTCCACTGTGACAGCTGTCGGGGATTTCAGGTAGTAGTCCATGGCAGACTTGACGTGCCCCAGGTCATCATCATCCTTCTTCAGGAGAAAGGCAGAGTATTCGAGGACAATAATAGTAGCTGCTGGCTGTTATTAGAACTACAACTGTTCATGGGGTGAGAAACTAACCAATGCTGGTATGAATCATTCTGTTTGCAGCAGTGGATGATGATCCCTTTGCAGCCTGTTGCACACTCTTACAATCCTCAAGATCAAAGGCGGAGAAAACCAACCCACCAAAGGCTGAAGGATCCAGATAATGTCCTTTCTCCAGGTCTTGACCTTGCCAGAGGTTGAAAGGTGTGAGTATCACATCAGGAAATCAACCCGAAATTGATATGACCAGGTGGAGTTGAGAAATAAAACCCATTATGATACATCTAGATTTAGAATTACACATCATTATCTTTGTGCAACACATGTATGAAGCAATATATGACTATGCTAGGGACATCTCATTTTGATAAGCATCTTACAAGCATGCAACAAGCAGATGAAGGATTATATGACTCACACTGAAGAAAGAGTCTGAGTCAAAGGAATGCTGCAGTGTAACTTTGTATGAAGTTGAAAGCAGGTGAATTTCACCACTCTGTCACTATACTGAATGGGCAATGACAACTTCAAGAACAAGCTCACTAAGTACTAGTATTTTAGTAATTAGTAGTAGTACCACCCAGTCAAGTTACTACTAGTAGTAGTAGTAGTATATGTAGTCCTACACAATATCAGGGGACCACTGGCAGGCCAGGACTGTTTGTTGGCCCAGCTATTACAGTGGTTTGAAAGAGAGGAAAAACTTGAAGTAAAGCTTACACAGTTCCAAGTTCTGCTTGGCTCATTGTCTTTTTCATTCCTGCTCCTTCACCCTTGAGTCTTGGTCCACCTCTGAGTCCTTCCCATCCTCAACCAAAAATCCACCTTTCGAGTTGACCATTTTAGACAGGTCATACTCAAAGTACTTGCTGAGGCATGAGTCACACTTCTGAGTCAGTGGCTTAGGAGCTGTTGGTAAAGTGGACAAAGCCGGAATCACTTTGAGAGGGCGTTTCTGGTTCAGATTTGGCATATCAAATGACGGGCCTGCCTCTTGTTCTCGTTGTCTCCAAGTCTGCCTTGCTTTTGCTACTAGTAAGAACTGCATTAGCTGAAACATGAACTGGAACGTGCCAGTGGGCACCCTCATCATCACTGGTATGTAGTACCTTTGAGGCGGTTCTGAGTCAGCTCAATGCACTTGATTTGCTTGGGTGTTGGAAATGAGTTCAAAAGTTCTTGCCTGGGCCAGTAGTTGAAGGTGCAGGATGAGCATTCCATCCTTCCATCACTAAATTGTTCGAGACTTTTTGAGTGATTGCCAGTTCTAACAAGGGTTGGAGATGGTGTTCCTTTTGCATATGACAAAGACTTTGGCAGCAGTCTTAGTACTACAGATTAGGAAGTTGAGTATTTTGCCACTCACAAATGACTTGGAGTGAATGTTGACAGAATTGAACAGACTCGGAGCCACTGAGCAACAACTAGCACACATTGTCTGTGAGCTCATTCCTGGTGTTCGATTAATATATCGGTAGCATAACAACAGCAACAATAGCAAGCAAGATACAAAGTGGTCAGCCAAAGCAAGTCATCAACTTTCTACACTCCTTGCTGCAGTGTTGTCAACAACCGCCACTGTGGCTGTACTGTTTGGTTTTGGCGACTTGTCGCCTGAGTGATGATCTGTGGTACCATTGGCAGTAACTGGTTCAATAGGTGTAGGCCTGCTTTCTGTAGTGGTTGGAGTATTGATTTCCATCGGCAAATGCCCCACTCAACATGGGGCGAACCATCGTGGTGTGTCCACTAGGACCAGCCTCATGAGTAGAGCCTGCAGCATCCGAACTCAAGATGCCCACACCAACACCAGACCTCCTTCCACCAGCAATGTCCGCCTCACTTGAGTGGCTTCTCAGTTTGCTGTCACGATCCCGATGATGTGCGTGATCTCTACGCCCCCCTCTCTCTCATCATCCGAGTCAGATAGCTCTCTGTCTGCTTGGATGTGAGAGTCCAATAGCCGCCGGTGTCTCCTGACATCAGGAGGAATCAAGTCTTCATCCTGATTAAGGTCATCCATATTGTTGTCCATCGGAATGTTTGGGATATCTAGTAGTTTGATGAACATTCCAACACCTTTCCAATACCTTCGAAACCCATACCTGTCATATTAATACCAGGAGGCCCTCCAAAATGTCACCAATAGTCTTGACATGTTCCAAGTACTCTGGTGTATTCATATCCTCCCTATTTGATGACCTCATGTCTAATTTGTAGTCGGGTTCGAAATACTCGTAGTATTCATTCATGGGTATTTCTAGATCATGTCAGTATGAGGTGAGAGAACTGCACTGAAAGGAGGCCAACCTGGTGCCAGTTTAATGCCAGCTGTGAGACCGGTTTCATAGGCTCATGTCCGACTGACATTGCGCATTGTATAACCCCCACCCCCAAGCAGTAGCAGAGGCTTGTTGAAGGACTTCACAAGTTTGACACAGTTGGCATACCCTGGATAAGAGTTCAGAATAAGTCAAGAGTAACACTTTTGGTCATACCTCACATAGAGGTTTAGGCAGCCATGTTTATCACCTGACAAGGAGTCTGCTCAACACTGAAGGACAATGGCTGATGGGTCGCACGATGCCATAACCTCACAGATCACCTGTATTGAAAACATGTAGACACTAGTTGGAAAAGAAAACATTGCTCACAGGTTCAAACACTAATTTATAATTTTCATCTGAGATTCTGTCATGCAATGAAAAGTTTAGCAAGTAATGTATTCCTTTGCCTATTCCTATGTCCTGATAGGTGTCAATAATACTCCAACAACAGAACGAAGTGACACGCACCCACAATTCACCAGTTCCTGCAAAGTACTCGCCATATATGTGGAAACTGACCGTCACAACCTGATGTGAAAGAGAAATAGAAACTAGGCTTGTTAGAAACTAGTGCTACTTATCCAAATAGGCGCAAGTGTAGTATTCGACCCAAGAGGACTGCTATTGAAGCAACTTCCTACTAATAATCAAGGGAAGCAATAGTGTGAAGGGTTAAAAATCTATAGCGACCTAAGACCAAAAACTAATGAGTAGCGCTGTAGTGATCAGCTACAAGTGAGTTCTGACAGAGAAACATGTGTATAAGTGAGAGGTGCTATGCAAGTTGTTTTATGCGATAGCACTATGTGACATCCGACTAGCTACAGCGAGAAGAAATCAAAGAGAGCGAGAGCGGAAAGTAAGATATGACAGTGCAAGTGAAATGCCTGGTAGTGACTAGATTGTAGCACGACTACCGATAGCAATCCCAATGTTGCGAAGTCAAACTTAAGAGGGAATCCTTAGCGATGTGCACTTAAAGCAAGTCAAGCAACACGCGATCAAAGAGATTGGCAAGAGCAGAATTGATTGCACCAAGACTAAGATATAGCAACTAAGGTGACTCTGACACACCAGCAAAGGTCCGGGGAAGGGAAGTGAAGTACTGTATGTGGGACGGGTCATTTTATCATACTGTGTACAGGTTTGGAATTGTGTAGGCGAGAATAGTAGCGACACTGGCGAGGGCATGATGTAGCGACAGGTAATAAAACATGCAGTGCTGCGGAACATGAGGATACAGGTAATAAGACCTGCAACTGATCAGTAGCAACATTTAAGGACAAATAACACACCAGTGGAGGTAGGTGGACATAGGCAGGACATGGGAGGATGGAATACCTAGGCGTCAGACCAGGTTGCGCGCTATGGGAGAAAAGTGGTTCCAAAGCGGATAGCTTGGGAGTTGATAGCGCTGGAGACTAGCACTTTACTCTTTTCCTCTAGGCAAGGCAAAATATGGCTATGACACTCATATGTGCCTAGCACTGGTATGATTGTCACACCACCATACAAAATCCCTACCATCCCCCACATTCCTTGGTCTCAATGAATTATCCCTATCCTGCCTGTAACCCTTGGAGAAGTTATCCACATCATCAAAGAAAAGATCCAATTTGGTGTATACAAACCGTCTACCGCAGCATACCGATCACGCTGGTTCTGCGTTGTCAAGAAAGATGGAAAATCATTGCGCCTAGTACACGATCTTCAACCGCTGAATGTGGTAACTATCCGAGACTCATCACTCCCTCCTTTTGTCAAACAGTTAGCTGAATCCTTTGCTGGGTATGCGGTATATGGTATGATGGACTTATATTCAGGTTACAACCAGCACACACTACATGAGGAATCACGAGACCTCACTTCCTTTGGAATGCCATTGGGTCCGCATCGGCTGACAACACTTCCACAAGGTCACACTAATGCGGTACAAGTATATCAAGGTGATACCGCTTTCATTCTACAGGACAAAATTCCAGAGTTCATGTCACCATTTATTGATGATGTGCCCGTCAAGTTGCTTAAAATGCGGTATCAAAGAGCCGATGGCTCATATGAAACCATAGTGCTAAACCTGGGCATACATTGCTTCATATGGGAGCATTGCAAGGTCATCAACCACATACTCCAGCGAGTCGAGAATGTCGGTGTAACCGTATCCGCTACTAAGTTTGTTCTAGCCGCTCCTACTGCTGTCATAGTTGGGCACAAGTGTACCTTCGAAGGGTGAGTACTGGAAGATTCCAAAGTGCAAAAGATCTGTGATTGGCCTGAATGTCGCACCATCATGCAAGTGTGGGGCTTTCTAGGTAGTTGCGGAGTCTTGCACATCTTCATTTGGGACTTCTCCAAGATCACGCAACCTCTCACCAACCTTGCCTGCAAAGACGTACCCTTTGAATGGGGTGAAGACCAACAGGTAGCTATGCAGACTCTGAAGGACTCAATATTAGAATCTCCCGCACTCCTTCTGCTTGATTATGAGTGCGGTCGCGAAGTCATCCTTGCTGTTGACACCTCTTGCTTCGCTGTAGGTTTCATCCTCCTTCAAGTCGGGGAAGATGGCAAGCACTATCCAAACCGCTTCGGACCCATATCCCTTATGGAAGTCAAAAGTCGCTACTCTCAAGCAAAACTAGAGCTATACAGCCTATTTCGTGCGCTACGCGCGGTTTGTGTCTTTATCTTTGGTGTCACCAACCTTACGGTTGAGGTCAATGCAAAGTATATTCAAGGAATGATCAATAATCCCGACCTTCAACCCAACGCGACCATCAATTGGTGGATCACAGGTATATTGTTATTTTCTTTTGTGCTCATTCATGTACCCGCCACCAAGCATACTGGAGCAGACGGACTCTCAAGGAGACCACCCGCTGAGGAAGATTCCAACGAGGACAATGATCATGAGGATTGGCTTGACCGCTCATATTCGTTCGGCATCGAGATTCTGAATGACCGTAGTTGCGCAGGAGCTGATATAATGTGCTACCCATACGCTGCACCTGTACCTTACCCGCCGACTTGTTTACCCGCCCTCATTGCATACCTAGACACCATAGAACCTGATTCCACAAGCCCAACCATCCCCCACTCAGAGAATGCACAAGCACTTGATGCCAGACTAATCAAGATCCAATGCTTTTTAGAGACTTGCAAGCGACCCGCAGACCTATCGGACGAAGGCTATGAACTATTTGTCTCATCCACTGCGCAGTACTTCATCCTTGACGAGAAGTTATGGAGATGCAATTCTCAAGGAAAGCACCAGCTAGTAGTTCCCGAATTGTGACATTTTCACATCTTGAAGGAAGCACACGACAACCTTGGACATAAGGGAGTATATTCAATCTGCACCTGACTCCTCTTATGCTTCTGGTGGCCTATGATTATTGACGACATCACATGGTATAATAGGACATGTCACGAATGCCAGATCAGGCAAAGTCACAAGTTGCACATTCCGCCGACAGTCCCGATCCTGGGCAGCATCTTCAGGAGAGCACATATTGATTGTATGATGCCTAAAGCAGGCGGATTTGACCGACTAGTCCATGCACATTGCACGCTAACTGGATACCCAGAATGGCGCATATTACGCAAGGAGAATACCAAAACCCTTGTCACATTCTTATTTGAGGAACTTCTTTGCAGATGGGGACCTATCACTGAAATTGTTACCGACAACGAACCTGCATTCCGCTGTGACAAACATACCAGTGCTAGGCATGTATGAGTGTCATAGGCATATTTTGCCTTGCCTAGAGGAAAAGAGTAAAGCGCTAGTTACCAGTGCTATCAAACTCCCAAGCTATCCACTTTGGAATCATTTTTCTCCCATAGCGCGCTGCCCAGTCCGACCCCCAGGTACTCCGTCCTCCCATGTCCCGCCTATGTCCACCTACCTCCGCTGGTGTATTATTAGTCCTTAATTGTCACTACTGATCAGTCGCAGGTCTTATTACATGTATCCTCGTGTTCCGCAGCGCTACATGTCTTATTACCTGTACACGCATCGTGCTCTCGCCTGTATCACTACTATTCTTGCCTGCGCATCCAGAACGCTTATGCAGTATGATGAAATGTCTCGTGGTACATACAGTATATCACTTCCCTTCCCCGGACCTTTGCTGGTGTCGGAGTCACTTTAGTCGCTATATCCTAGTCTTGGTGCAATCGATTCCGCTCTTGCCAAATCTCTTTGATCGCATGTCGCTTGACTTGCTTTAAGTGTGCATCGCTAAAGTTCCCTCTTGAGTTTGACTTTGGCAACATCAGGATCGCTATCGGTAGTCGAGCTATAATCTAGTCGCTATCAGGCATTTCACTTGCACTGTCTTACCTTACTCCTCGCTTTCGCTCCCTTTGATTTCTTCTCACTGTCGCTAGTCAGACGTTGCGTAGTGCTATCGCATAAAACAACTTGCATAGCGTGTCTCACTCATACGCACGTTTCTCTGTCGGAACTCACTTGTCGTTTGTCGCTGATCGCTATAGTGCTACTCCTCGGTTTTTGGTCTTAGGTTGCTATAGGTTATTAGTCCTTCGCGCTATCGCTCCCCTTGCATATTAGTAGGGAGTTGCTTCAATAGAAGTCCTCTTGGGTCGAATACTACACTCGCGCCTATTTGGATAAGTAGCGCTAGTTTCTAACTGCCTAGTCGCTATTTCTCTTTCACACCACGCAGCAGCTGATGAACTAGCAGCGCACTATGGAATTCACCCGATCCGCATCTCAGCATACAATTCTCAAGCTAATGATATTGTTGAGCGACATCACTATGATGTCCAGGAGGCCATTTCTCACTCTATGACGAAGTGAGGCACGAGCAAAGTCTTAGAGTTTCGTCTTTTGGAAAGCGGAAGAAGCCGGTGTTTCTTCTTTCTGCTCTCCCACTAGCAAGAACTTCAACGAGTCTATCGTTGAGCTCTTTTCTTTTCTTTTTCCTTTTTAAACACCCTTACTTCACCCATCGGAACATTCCCTTTAATTTAAAGAAAACTTAGAAACCTGCCTTATTTTAGCATGGCACACATTGCATCAGACCCAACTTTTGACATTGAGCCAGACTTCACTTTTGTCCCATTCGAAGGCATAAGGAACTGCATCATCGGAAACACACAGTTAACCCACGCTGAAGCAGCCAATGAGCTTGCTACTGGTTGGCAACAAGACCGTGACATCTGCGTAGTTGTATGGACGCAACAGACCAATGAAGACACCTGACTAGCTGCAGAAGCAGCCCAGGCTAACCATGATTGCCTTGAACAGGAATGGCTTGTACTCAAGCAAGAGGCTGAGAATAAACGTCAGGAAACCGAGAAGAAGAAACCAAAAATCAACGATTTTGCCACAGGAATGTCGGTGGGCGACACCCTTACCCACTGCCCTTCCCAGTATGCTATCCACAAACTCAAATCTTTCGAGTACATAGAACTCTGGTACTTCAGCCCGGACGGCTGCAAAGAAGCCGCTGACGAGGCAAATCGTCGGCCGACAGAACCTTTGGTTTCACGAAGGTTGACGACTTCATTGCCCTAAAATATGTTGTGTCATTCAAGCCCTCTCAGAAGGTAATCCAGGACCAGAGCCTTGAGTGGAGACAATTCAACATGGCCAAGAACAGTTTCTTACTCTACATCAACAAGCTGAACTGGCCCAAAAAGCACCAACGTGCCATCACAATGTTCTTCATTGAACATCATTTCCAGCCCTCAATGCACAGAGCCATTTGGAGAATAAGCCTTATTGCTATACGCCGCCCACGTCCACAGAGACTGGCATGATACACTCACTTTAGACAACACTTTCAATATCAGCATCCTTAACCCATCGCTTCTGAAGAACCTGACAGAAGAAATTTGGAACAAGACATGCTTAGAGAGCCTGACTGAGGTTTGTACATCCTGTGTCCTAATCCACAGCGCATTTCTAATTCCCTCCACCCTCGATCACGTCTCTCCTCGCACACTCTCACCACCATAACTCATGCTACCACCCCACTATTCCCACTCTTGAACTCATCCCAAATGTTCTCTCCCTTACCCCTCGCTATACGCTTGCCTGTTTCCTGCTCCCTGCTCCCTGCTTCCTGCTTCCTGCTCCTGCTTCCTGCTTCCTGCTTCCTGCTTCCTGCTTCCTGCTTCCTGCTTCCTGCTTCCTGCTTCCTGCTTCCTGCTTCCTGCTTCCTGCTTCCTGCTTCCTGCTTCCTGCTTCCTGCTTCCTGCTTCCTGCTTCCTGCTTCCTGCTTCCTGCTTCCTGCTTCCTGCTTCCTGCTTCCTGCTTCCTGCTTCCTGCTTCCTGCTTCCTGCTTCCTGCTTCCTGATACTCTACTGCCTGTTACAGTCACCCTATTCTTTTCTCACACTCACTATGGACATTCCACGATTACACTTCCTATGCTTCCATTTCACCTTGATGTTTCACTGCCTCTATCTCTGACTCGACCCTATTCCCATGAACCTTCCTTTCTTGGTTACTAGTACCCTTTGCCCAGACCGGTCTGTGCGCATTCTCATTACGTATATAAACCTTAGTTACCAACTGTATTTTCCCTAACTTGAATCTACTCAGTTCTCTTTGATAACTTGAACTCTAGCTCCTTGGGAAGGAGGCTAGTCTGTGACCCTAGAACTCTAGATCCTGCGGGAGTCTAGACGATTGCTCCTGAGGGAGGCATAGAACTCAATAAGGCTCATCCTTAGTCAACTTAGATCATTGATTCCTTTATTGGAAACGACTCTATCTGAGTTCGTAACACCACTGGCATCCTGCTCCCTACTTTGACCCCAAAATCAGCTTCAAATGGCAGTATATCAGCGCTCCACAACGGTCACGAACCCCAGAACTCCTCTCATCGCAACCAAACTCGTCCTGCATACCACCCTACACACTCCCAGTCACGATCACCTACTTGCAACCCATCGGGTCGATTACCACCCCCGGGGATCGTCTCCCAACCGCAATTGCTCACACCAAGAGCCCAAACAATCCACCAACGACAAGCCCCCTTTTCAGGGCAGCGCAGCATCACCAGGCCTCCATGCCTGCACATCATGTGTTGGCCAATTCGCGCACAACATCCACAGGTGCAAAAGCGAGCTCCTCTGGGACAACAAGACCCCTACCTCTTGCTGAAGGAGTGCAGAAGGACGCCTTGTCAACGCCCAAGGGCTCCAGCTATGTTACGATTGGCAGTGTCCCAACGGCTGCGCAAGCGCCAGCAAGGACCACATCCACGAGTGTTCTGGTTGCGGGAACATGGTGTGATAATCATATTAGCGCTAGGCATGTATACCTGCATAAGCCTTCAATAGGTGGACCAAAGTTATCCCTCATATTATTCACTACTCCCCTATCAGCAGTCTTCACTTGTCTCAGCCATAACCCTTGTCCAACACTATTCCGCACATTCCCACAGCGCTATTCATGCTCTCGCGACTTATCCGACACTATTCCCGCGCTTATAGCACTATCAGAATTACCAGCAATGTGTCTATAGGAGCATTAGTGCATGTCCACTCTACCTAGTGCTTGTCCGCTCTATCTAGCACTTGTTCCTGCACCTAGCGCTTGTCCAGCGTGCTGTTCTCGCCCTCTAGGATCCACCTGAAACGTCGGAATCCATCCATTGTCCATCCTACCTCATTGGTATGTAATTTGCCTTGCCTCGAGTTTGTAACAAGTGCTACAGTCTTATTACATGTATATCCTATCCCTTCCGAGTCCGAGATGGTATAGTTTACTAGTATAAGAAGCCTATGGTGATTACTTTGACATTACTTCCATTCGACTATATTTCCTTTCCCTTAGGTTTTACTTAGAAGTAGTCACCCTTTAGTTGCGCTCTATGGCCCCTATTTGACTTTCCTTATCCTTGCAATCAATACCTTTGATCTCACTCACTATTCATTACCCTCCCTTGACCCAGTGTCCGCTTTCTTGACTTCCGCTCTTTCCCGTGCATTAGCACTCTATCTTGCGACGCGCTATTCCTGCGCTTTAGCACTCTTTCGGGTCTTTCAATCTTGAGTTGTCCTTGGTAGCTTGTCCCTTGGGTTGAATGTTCTTGCTTTATTGTTTGCAAGTATAGCAGCATAGGCAGAGCTTTAGACATATACTGGCTGAGTACCTTAACAAGTGCCTAGTCAGGTTGATTTTTTCACAATGGACCACGGAGCTCAGAAGTGTCCTCGAGGCCAGGAAGCTCAAGGCCCTTACTCCATACTACGCTAATGCATGGCTCCATCTACTTAATAAATCTGGTCTCATACACACATACTTGCACATACCTCAGTCCTTACAATATGGTTTCAATGGGAGCATTCCCCCTATTACACATACATACACCCCTCCTAATAACCCGTCCGTTCATGAACACGCCAATGCTTTTGCCTCCATCCTCAACTGAGAGTTCAACACAGGGAGATATCTTGGTCCCCTATTAAAAGCTGAAGTGGAAGACCTTATTGGTCCGTTTAGAATGGCCCTGCTGTCCATCATTCCAAAACCCGGGAAACCTGGAAAATTCCATCTCATCCAGAATTTATCTCACAGTTGCTCGTCCCTTACTCGTCCCATCACATCCATCAACTCGTCCATCAACTCAAACCTCTACCCTGCACTTATGGCACATTCGCCACCATATGCCTGCTCATATGGTGCCTTCCCCCAGGTTCGCAAGGCACCACCCGAGACGTGGCAGAGGCCTACAGAACTATCCCTCTCCACCCTTCACAGTACTCAGGGCTCATGGTCCGCACGTGCGAAGACCTATTCGCCATTGACACATGCTTCTGCTTCAGCTGCTCTTCAGCAGCTGGTTCCTACAGAGGCCTCGCTGATGCCGGCGCCGACATCTTCTGTAGCGAAGGAATTGGCCCCTCTATCGAAGTGGGTCGACGACCATCTGTTCTTCCACATCATGTGACAATTCCTGGACAAATACAATGAGCAGCAGAGACTATGGGCCCAGAACATCTGAGACCAAGGCGGCATGTGCACAGACAGAGGCCGGAAATGGTACCGAGGTGTTACCTTACCAAACGACCAGCCAGAGGAGTTCAATGAGGACTGCTCATTCCCCATCCTCGACTTATCCCAGAGATCCCCAGCTCTGCTGAAGACGCAAAATTTTCTTACTGCATGGTAGATATCAACTCTCTCTCTAATCAAACCGGTACACCCTGGGAGATATCCAAGGACGTCCAATTCTGCTCTGACCCCGCCTTTCACTGGCCTTACCTGGGATCTCGACACACACACAATCAAGATCCCAGAAGGCAAGAAGAGAAAATACTCAGCGGCTATTTCAGCCTGGGAGACCCAACCCCGCCACACCCTCCTCGAAGTCCAAAAGCTCCATGGCAAGCTACTCCATGCAGCTCTCGTTGTTCCTGCTGGAAGAGCCTACATCACCGAGTTGGAGGCCATGCTCTCCATCTTCGGTGATCATCTTCTCGTACCTCACACCCCACCAAAGAACTGCGCCGCTGATCTTAGGTGGTGGGCTGCAACCCTCCGTCAACCATCCATTAGCAGACTCATCCCTGGTCCATGCTTCATTGTTGATCCAAACACCTTCTCTGATGCTAGCTCAGGCATGGGAATTGCAATTTGGATTAATGGGTGGTGGCATGCATGGCACCTCATCCCAGGCTGGAAAACTGACAGTTGGGACATTGGATGGGCCAAAGCTATCGGTTTTGAGTTCCTCGTCCTCAGCATCCTTCAAACCTCCCAACCCAACCCTATCCCTTGCTTCAAGGTTCACGGAGATAACAGAGGCATTGTGGAAGGTTGGTGGAAAGGATGCAGCTGTAACCATCCAACCAATGCTGTCTTCAAGCGCGTTCACATCGCCACTGAATCTGCTTCCTGTGTTGTCCTCTCACGCTATGTCCCTAGCGCCCTTAACCCTGCAGATGACCCATCTCGTGGTAGATACCTGCATCGCTCCCTACTTCTGCCCCCCATTCCTATCCCTTCCCCCATCAGGGAATTCATCATTGACTTCGATGCCCCTCTACACCCAAATGAGTACAAAGGGACCTGTCACTCAGTCCTGATTCTCACAGCTGCCAAAACCCATTCCCAGCACAAAGACACCAATCGCGCAAGTCCTCGAACAGCAAGGGGAAGAGCTCCACCAAGCATCGCAAATATAGTAGGTTCCCTATGCATTAGATAAAGGCCCAGAATTGCTTACTAACCAAAAATCAGCCTATCATCCTGATCCGAGCCCACTCCCATCTGCACTATGCCTCCACTGCCCTGCAAAGCAGCGTCTCCGCTTATGGGTCCCCATCATATCCCGGCCCAAACCAAACACCCTCAGCTCAGAAGACATGACGTGCATACAAGACATCATGTGCCATGCCTGGGCTGAGAGCACCCACAAATCCTACAGTTTGGGTCTCCTCATATACCACGTCTTTTGCAACTTGCCATCAATTTCTGAATAAGACCATGCACCCACCTCCTCTATCCTAATCTCTACATTCATTGTGTTCGCAGCAGGCTCATACTCCGGAAAAACCATCACAAACTACATATTTGGCATGTGCGCATGGCACATCCTCCATGGCATAGAATGGTCTCTCAACGATGTCCAAGTCGACTCCTTCCTAAGAGCATCAGAGAACCTTACACCTAACTCCTCGAAACGCAAGAAGCATTGCCCATATACCATCGACTTCATTTGCTCTCTCCATGATCAATGTGACCTGGACTCGCCACTTGATGCAGCAGTATTTGGGTGCCTTACAACATCTTTCTACTGCACCGCTCGAGTAGGAGAGTTCACAGTACCAACCCTTTCATCATTCGACCCAAACATTCACGTCAAGCCATCAAACATGCGTGTTGAGCGAGACCGTAACAATCTCGAGATGAGGGTATTTTTCATCCCTTTGACAAAATGTCTAGAACAGGAGAAGATGTCTCATTTGCGCATCAGACCCTGAGCAAGCACTGCTTCACCACCTCAGAACCAACCAGCCCCCCCTGGAAATACTCTGTTCTCCTACTGCTACAAGAACGGACACTGGCCACTGACGAAACAAAAGTTCATAACTCGTCTAGCAAAAGCAGCAAGAGCCACAGGATTAGACCCTCTCCAGGGCCACAGCATCCGCATTGGGTCCACACTCAAATATCTCCTTCGCAATGTTCCATTTGAGGTCGTCAAGACAAAAGGACGTTGGGCCAGCGATGCCTTCCAGTTGTACCTGTGAAAACATGCCCAAATCATGGCTCCATACATGCAAGCTATCCCATCCCTTCACGAAGACTTCCTTCATTTCTCGATGCCTAGAAATCATTAAAAAATGTCGCTCATCCTCCTACTATGTCGGGTTTCTTCGGCATCGCTGCAATGTGT